TATAAGCAAAATTGGCACCGTACGGTGGCTCCAACCCAAGAAAGATGTTATATATATAAATGGAATACAAGCAAATAAAACCACCACAGGCCCCGACCAAACGTAAATGAAAAGCCCCATGCAGGTCAAACCAATTTAGGCATGCTATGCACACATTGACACCAGCAAGTCTATATTCCAACCTTTTCTTCGCATGTCTTTTGACCAATTGTGTTTTAGGGTTCGGTTCTATTTTTTTCGGTCAGAACCCTGAGCCGCATCGCGTCGAGAAACCAAGTCTATAGGCGAAGAAACCAATTCTCTAGGCGATCTTAGAACCAACCCGGAATCTTAGGATTTGCGTGTTGGTCTTCGTTAATTCCTGTGATGAGCATATATTTTTTGGTTTTTCGCTGCTGGTTGGGCTTTGGTTGGCGGGTGTGGGAAAGAATTGGTTGCTCGGCTTTGGTATTGGTTTCTCGGTGCGGATTCGATAGTATTGGTTTCTCGCTCCTTGCCTGTTTTCTCCGCAAAAGTTGGTTTAGTAGTGTTTTGGTTTCTCGTGTGATGGTTTTGGTTTCTCGACCTAGGGTTGGAAAAGTTCTGGTTCCGTTGCCTTGGGAGTGGTTTCCTGGTCCAGAGTTGGGAACAAAACTGGTTTCTCGGCTTATATATTGGTTTTTCCGCCTCTGATTATTGGTTTATCGATGCTCTGCTGGCAGGCTCGTCAAGCTCCTTGTGCTCGTCCTCGCACACTACAAGCAGAGGCTGGGATGTGGGTTTCATTTCCGGTATGTATGGTTCGACAAATAGATATATGACCAAGGAAAGAATCTATATAGTCGGTGATCATGTAATATCCAAACATATAGTATATATGCAAATTTGTGTGTATGTGTATGTGTATATTAATATATATATATATATATATATCATGCATTTATATCTTGGCACGTGTATGCTTGGCCATGCTTCACAAATATCAGTGTGTGTACATACGTATATGTACATATATACATATATGAGTATATGTATGTACATGTAAGTGTATATCTATAGATATATATATATATTTATATGTATGTATTTATGTATGTATGTATGTATGTATGTATGTATGTATGTATGTATGTATGTATGTATGCGATGTAGCTTTGTATTTGTACCATGCATTATCGGTCATCCTTTGGTATGGTGTGTATATATATATAGATAGATATATGCAGATCTATCTATCTATATCTATATATATATATACACATACACAAAAGAACGAAAGCAAACGACAATACATGTACACACACACAGTCTCTGCTCAAGTCTCAATCTCTCTCTCTCTCTCTCTCTCTCTCTCTCTCTCTCTCCCTCTCCACCTTTGGCTTTCTCTTTCTATTCCTTGCTAGTCTGTTCTTGGCCAGGGTCCGAAGAAGTTCTTCATGAAGGTGCGCCCCACCCGCCGTCCTGAGAGTGCAAGGGATCTGCACATGCTGCTGTTGACATGGTTGCTTGATTGTACATGGTTGTTGTCATGAACAAGCATGCATTGACTGAGCACAACATGCAGATCATTTTTTGTTCGAGCCCTGAATCCGGGCATGTCTAGGGCCTCTAGAGCCTGGTCCTGCGGAACTCTGAAAGCCGGCTTAGAAGCTTTAGAGCGGCAACGTCAGCCCATGGACCCTGTGCGGCAGGTGACCAGGCTAAATTTTGTCGACACACACAAGCATTGCGAGACCTTCTCCCACGAAACACATCCTATGCACAGGTCAAGGAGGAGCCCCTGGAGGATGTCTGGCAGGAGAAATGTCGGGGACTTTCTCCTGAGTCCAGGCGCCTCGCGAGCCAGCTCGCCAACACGCCGCAGTCCCGGCTGCTCCTCGAGAAGCTCCTGCAGGCCAAGCAGGGCAGCAATCCGGGCTTCTTGTTTGCAAACAAAGCACATGATGTTGTTGTCCTGCTTGCTTGCTTTGCATGTTGTTGAGTCTATACACAAGACATCAGCATGGCTTTGGATGCAAGGTATGCCCTCGACTCTTCCGGAAGCAGCGACAAAGCCTGAGTTTGCGGGGACCCCCACAGGTCTTTCGAGGGGGCAGGTTCACGACATCAAGGAAGAAGCAAAGCGACATCAAATGTCCCAGATGGACAGCCAGCAGAAGCACCTCATGGAGCATGCAGGGCAACACCACAGTGATCACGACCGGGTAGTTGCAAGCCAGCAGGCACAAGCAGTAGCGACACTCACAGCACAGCAGCTTCGGGAGTCTGCAAGGCAAGTAGCAGCACAGCAGAAGGTGGCCGAGCAACAGAAGGCAGCAGCCTATGTGCAGATGCAACAGTTGCAAGAACAACAGAGATTGCAAGAGCAGCAATACAAAGATGCTGAATGGCTGGCTGCGCAGCAGCTCTATGTGATGAAGGAAGAAGCAGCAGCCCGTGAGAAGCACAGACTAGAAATGCAGCGTGCTTTGCAGATGCAGGAGCTTGAGCTGCAGCAGCACACAACTGAGCATTGGTATTGGTCGCAGCAGCAGCAGCGTTACTGGCAAGAGACGCAGGTTGATGATGCAGAAACCCCAAGTACAACAGCCGCCCCAGCACACAACCCAAGTACGACAGCCGTCCCAGCACGCACAAGTACGACAGCCTTCCCTGCACACAACCCAAGTACGACAGCCTTCCTTGCACACAACCCAAGTACGGCAGCCGCCCCAGCACACAACAACCAAGCACCATCCGGGGAGGTCGATGCGGAACTTGCTTTCACCAGAACGACCGCTGAAGCTGCGCAGGCCTATCTATATTTGGAGCAGCAGGCAGGCACAGCAGCTCCGGTCGTGACAGCCTCGCCCGCACAGGAAGCACCGAGCCCTGCCCCGACCCAACTGCGGGACTCCGCTTGGGATGCACAGCTGGCAGATGCTGCGTACAAGAGACACATGGGTGAGCAGGATGTGCGCATGGGGTCGCCAACGCAGCTGCAGCAAGAGCTTGACACGACAACAACCCAGCTGGCGGGCCATGCGCAGGGTGAGGATCAGGAGATTGATTGGGCAGCCAAAGCTGCAGAACTAGAAGCATTGTTGCAGCAGTGCAGAGCAAAAGCACAGGCAGCAACGCCCTCGACCAAAGCGACGGGCCCGACCCCTTCCTCCACACCTACACGGAACCTGGCTGCGCAGTTCATGCGTGTGGCTTCGGCAGCAGGAGAGGAGTGGACCGCCGATGGCTGCAAGCGCAAACGCAGCCACGAGGACGACTGGCCTGCACCTCCCAAGGCTATGCCCAGGACTGCAGCACCAGCAGCCCGATGCATCTCTGCAGGATTACCGGTGCCTCCGCCACCTCTGACTCCAGAGCAGTACGAGCAGAAAATGCAAGAAATTGCTGCCACCATCCCCGCTCCTCCACCGGTGAAGTCTACTGCGGCCAAGTCGGCTCCGGCAGCATGGCCTCCACAGAGGAGCCAGCCCTGTACCCCCCCCGAAGCCACTTCCAAGGCAGCCTTCCCGCCGGCGCCCCCGAACATCCCCGCTGCCGGTGTGCCCACGCACTGTCTCATGCCGAAGCACGCACCTCCGTGCCCACCGTTCCCGCCAGCAGCGAAGGGGCCTGCCGATCCAGAAGCCCCCCAGAGTCATCCGCAGCCGGAGCCTCCTTTCGGGCAGAATCACCCACCCGCGCCAGAAGCCGAGCAGAATCACCCACCAAGACCCTCAGTGGAAGCCGAGCGGAATCACCCACCGAGACCCGTGCCAGAAGCCCAGCAGAATCACCCACCGAGACCTGCACCAGAAGCCGAGCGGAATCACCCACCGAGACCCGTGCCAGAGGTGAATCCAGAGCCCGGTGCAACGAAGCAAGCACATTCAGCAGCCGCACCGGCAGAAGTCGCAGCTAGTGGCCGTGATGGAAAGTGACTTGGTGCACAGTATTTGCTGTATAGATGTATCACTTGTCTCGCAAACTCCGAAGTGCCCGCTGCTGCTGGAGTTGAAAATGACTTTGAGGCTTGCTGTCTTCAACAGTGTGACTTGTCCAGATGCATGGGCCTTCCTCTACCGCCTGTGTGGTCGTGACAACAAGACCAAGTCTAAGACAAGCCAAGAGATCACAGATCGTTGGGCATCAGGCATGCATGTTGGTGTTGCTGTGCATGAGTTGCTGAACAACAATCGATAGAATTGACCCGCATTGTTTCTACCTTGCCCCTCGCAGGTGGTGCCACTCGGAACAAGCTCTTGAAGGAGTTTGTTGAGAAGGTCTACCAGCCAGATGCTGCTTATGATGACAACAAGGTTGCTTGCAATGTTGCTTGTGTCTGTGTGTGCATGTCGGCATGTTGCTTTGATTGTCCATGCATGCTTGTTGTTAATGAGCGGTCAACCATCACGAATCACAGCTACTGAATGTCCTTCATCTCGAATCCCGGCAGGGTCGGCTGGAGGCGCTGTTTCGCCTGAAGCACGTATCGAAGTCGTGGAAAACGGGGAGATCTGGCTATGAATGGCAGACGGAAGAGGAGCTTGTGGCTCGTGGATGGCAGACGAAGCTTGTGCTGCAAATCGCAATATGCGGCATGTTTAATATTCTCTTGTATACATCATTGAATGTTCTCTTGTCAAAAGTACCTGAGGCGTAAGATTGCCGGTGCTGTTGCACTGTGTACTGCAAAAAAAATGTACAAGAAGTGCATGTACACCGGCGACCGGAAGTATCTCGTGTTGATCACCGAGACAGTTGAGCAGCTCGGCCATGTATTATTCCATTCATGCCTGTATATAGAGGGACCGTCAAACTCGGAAGCATGTCACTGCATCTATACTATCTTCAGGCAAGGGACAGAGCGACTCCAAGAACTCGAGCAGCTGATGCAAGAAACAGGCTTCGCTGCGCACGATCTGCAAGAATACCTGAGTCAATGAATCTGTTAGCAATTTAAAGTACGATGTGTGTTTTGGTTTCGTTCGGCAGGCTGCTTCACCGAGGAGTTTGACCTCTCCCTCGGAGATTGCTTGGACCTCTCGGACTCAGAAGATGAGCCCAACAAAGAGGGTAAAAACCCAGATGGAAAGCCCTCTAAGAAATGCAAGGGGTCGGGACTGCCACCTCTCGAAGGTTCCGAATCGGTTGAAGCTTTCGTCGCGAAGTACAAGAAGACTTTGCTGAACAAGCGCAGCCTGCTCAAGGAAGCGAAGGAGAGATTGGAAAAGGAGGAATGCGCATCCCACCGGCTTCTCGATCGCAAACAATGTGAAGTTGAGTACTTGAGTGGCCGGCTGTCCTGCATGTTGCTATATTAATATATTGTGTCGTCTTTGCAGGGAGGACCTCAACACGTGCCAGAAGACTATGGGAGATCTGAACATCCTCTACAAAGAGATCTGTGACTTGGACTTGACAAAGGGAGACAAGAAGCTTGGATGCAAATAAATACAACCGTCTATGTATATGTTATATATATAGTATATATATAGCAATATATGTGCACTGCAGTTTTACTAAAGGACCAAGACCTTGTACGCCGACGTATGCAACCGAATCCGCGACAAGTGTGGGCCTCAGCAAAAGTTTATCAAGCTTTACTCGATCGTTTGCATCTGTATGCCAAGCTCTTTCAGGTGCACAGTGTTTACGAACGAGCTCAGCGCTTTGAAGTGTTCTTCTCAGAAAATCAGCATGTTGTCGTTACCATCTCAAACCATACGAAACTTCTATATTTGTGCATGCCACCAGGACTCACTTCAAGAAATCTCCAGCCAAGCCACGTGGTGGCAAGAAGGCGGCATCTGGAGAAGACCCTAAGTAGCTGATCAGCTGCTGCTTTTACGATCCAAAGGATCTTTGAATTGGCTACGGCCTTCGCATACTGTAGATGTGTGCGTGTGCTAACATGCAGGATGCCGAGAAATTTCGCTCGTGCTGCAAAATGAACTCATCTTGTGAAACTTGTTAGCAATCGACCGTTGCTGTGCACCATCGAGTATACATGTATAGTTGGATACACTGTGCCATCGCAGGTGTCAAAGCCAACATCGACAAGATCATCCGCACCTACATTGATGCTTGTTTCCCTTGACACATTCTTGTTGGTGTATATGCATACAGCACTTAAGGTATGCAAAGCCAGTTAAATATGTGGTTCTGTGACCAAATGAACTGAGGATGGAAATGCAGAGCAAGCAACATCACTAGCAGCAGCTTGCTTAAGGACAATAAATCCGGGCATTCGTGGACATGCACTGCTCATACAGCTAGCGCAACCAAGTGGCAATGCAAGCAACAAGGAGCGAGATTTGGCTGCTGCCATTGCATCGCTGGGTCTGGGTTTAAATGTGGCAGTTGCGTCTGTGAAGGTGTTGAAGGAGGACGGGTCATATGGGGAGCACCCGCTCATCCCCATTGCAAGCCTGGCGCATGAAATATTCACTTCCTTCCCTGAGAAGCTATTGATGGGGCTACCGTGGAGCAAGCTCAATGAGGTTAAAGGTCATCTACGTCGGTTTTGGAGGATCTTTAGAAAGCTGGCTCCAGATCACTCTATATACAAAGAGGATGCAAACACTGAGTGCTGTATACCCATCAAAATTCATATGGACGAAGGTACAGGTCTCAGAAAGTCTGCTGTGCTTCAGATTACATGGGGCCCTGTCCTGGTGAGTGAGGTTGCTTCTTGGTCTCGTTATTTCTTCTGGAGTTGTATGGGGCAAGAACAATACAAGCATCACAACAGGGGCTACGAGATTGGAAATGCTGTCCTGGATAGCTTAACTGAGCACTTGGCATCGGAGTTGCAAGCTTTGTACCACAATGGCATCAGCTTTAATGGGCAACGCTTTCGGCTTATTTGTATTGGCTTAGAAGGTGATTTACCAGCCCAAGCAAAAGCCTTCCACTTATTTCGTAATTGGCAATGCAGTCCGAACATGCTTTGTCCATGGTGTTCTGCAGACGATGGTTTGTGTCCGGCGATGGATTACAATCATGATGCACGCTGGCGTGCTACAATTTCCAGCTCTAGGCCATGGGTTCCAGAAACTCCATCTCCAATGATTCGAATTCCGGGAGCTGCTACAGAACAATTTTTGCAAAAAGATATATTCCATATTTGTTCGCTGGGAATTGCAAGAACGATGGTTTCTTCCTTGCTATGCTACCTGATCTTCATTGGTCATTTTCAGGTGCCGGGTCCACATTCTGGCCAAGGTGTGCCAAAGAGACTTCAGCAGGCGTACACATGTTTCAAACAATACTGCCGTGCTATTCTGGGAGCAACTCCCCATATCAAACATTTCAGTCGTGACAACTTTCAATGGGCATCTCTGGATAGAATGCCTGAATCTACGATGAAAGCTTCAGATTGCCGATTGATTTTGCGATGGCTGGTGAGTTATTTGCATGGGCCGTGGCAATTCAACAATACCCTCAAGCATGCATTCATGGCAGCAGCAGGTGTCATGGTAAGCATATATGTGCATCATCATGTTCTTGACATTGGCTATGAATTAGATAACTTGTGGTAGGTGTGTTGTTCTTGCGAGCTGTTGTCGAGGCATGAACGACTTCCTGCATGAGTGCTACACGGCAGACAGAAACTATCTGACGGAAGAACAAGGATCAAAAGCATGTCGTCACTTGCGTGCATTCTTTCGCAACTATATCAAGGCAGCCGAGCTTTCGCGACGAAACGGGGAGGTATTCTGGAATATGACGCCCAAATTTCATTATCTTATGCATGTTGAGGTCGACATGGTCAAACAACTGGCAGGTGGAGCGCGTCGCATTCTGAACCCGTGCTTGTTTAGCACGGCAATGGCAGAAGACTCGGTGGGGAGGCTATGCATCATCAGTCGGTCAGTGCATCCACTTACGATGCCAATGCGTGTTGCTCAGAAGTACATGCTGGATGCAAAGCAACGCTGGTGTGGCAAAAGAAATTGGGCTCTTGCTGGCATGATTGTGATTACAAGCATGAGTCAGTGGTGCAAGTTGTGAAGCATCATTAAGTTTACACCTTTGTGGCACCATTGCTGAATTTCCCCGTGTGTTCAAAACGCCCCACTCTCCTACAAGTCATTCTTCGTTAGTCTTGGGCAATCTTACTCTTTCTCATCCGTTCTTATTATTCTTGGGCAATCTTATGTTTTCTCATCAGTCTTATCGTTTCTTAACCATTCTTGATCATCTCAAACTCATGAACCTGTAAATTCTGGTTTCTGTCGATGAACCAAGAAAAGGTACTACACAGGGTTGTCTAGGTA